GGGGGGAGGGGGGAATTATCTTTCCTATTTGGCATCCATGCAACAGCTACTGGAATAGTGCACTCACTCCTGATAGCTAAAATTCAGGAGTGATGATTCAAAACACTAGAGATTCAGAAAGAAGCCACAGACATTATAAGGTCAGAAAAATGCATTACTTTGAGTGAGACTTCAAGAGCTCAAACAATTTAAGCCAAAGAGAGAAAGGCAGAGGATTATATCTAAAAGCCACCCATTTTAGGAACAGCCATTTCAGAGAGGGCTCTGATCTGCAGGTGGAAAAAGATATTGCCCGTAATTACTATAAATAAGACACTGCAGCAGTTTGGGACAGAATGTGGGTGGGCAAAATTAATAAGGAAATTATTTTTTCTAAAAGCCTCTCAAAGTTAAGGTTATTTTTGCAGCACATTTTTATTTTAGATGGGAATCTTTTCTAAAGCATACAACATAGAATCATAGACTACTTTGGGTTGGAAAGGACCCCAAGATCATCTAACTCCAAACCCCCTGCCACGGGCAGGAACACCTCACACTAGACCATGTTGCCCAAGACTCCATCCAGCCTGGCCTTTAACATTGCCAGGGATGGAGCATTCACAACTTCCTTGCCCAACCTCACCACCCTTGCTGTATAGTTGAACTGCAACTGCTAGGCTTGAAATAAGAAAGCCTGCACTGGATGGACATGCAACTTAGGGTCTTAAGAAGGTCAGGAGAAGTTCAATACTTACATAAACCATTTTTGTTCTACCCAGCACTAATGCAGTGGTGTCATAGCTCAGCACCAGATACACTGCTTTGTATAACAGTTAAAATCTGCATCCAGTTTAAACAAAAACATAGTAAAGTGATAAACAATGAAAAGGTGAAGCAGTCATTCAGTGGCTTTACTGATAATGATCAAACGATGGTCATGTATCAATTCACTTCAGTTCAAGCCAGAGACAAATAAATCAGGACAAATTTCAGCAACAACTGCCAAGCCAAAGACCACTAAAAGGTGAGAGGCATTTTCCAGGAGGCAAAATATGTAATCCCCGAAAAATTGTGGGACCTCTACATTTAGCTCAACAGCTTTGAAAATGACAATACAAATTCAAAATACTAAGTGCTAAGAAGTTTAAGCTGGAGACAAATGGAAAATGGAGTATAAAGTAAACAAATAGCAGTGACTGACTCCTGTCTAGTAAAACTAACTATACCACCGGTACAGAATAAGCAGTAACAGGCCAGAAAGGCAACAAAACTTTCGCTATAAAGAATAAAATAGCGTGTAACTCAACTGACCTCTGTCTTCATGCGTTTTTCGAGGTCAGTATGTCACAAGGAAGAAGAAATGAAATCTATTTCCAGGAAAGTGTGAGAGGTAATGGCATG